GAGGGGGTCCCGCCTCAGCCCTGAGGATGCTCTCGGCCCCTGCGAGGGGCAGCTCGGGGAAAACGAGCGTCCGCGGTTGAAAATGCACAAACCGGGTAGGGGGGCGTGTGCCGCGGGCTGCTTAGGAGCTGGAGTTGGTGTCTTGGGAAAGAAGCAGAAAGAAAATTATTGTTTTATCTTGGGGAGGAAAAAGTGGAAAACAGGAATTAAAAGACATCTTCAGGGGCTGAGTGAAGCGCTTTGTGCAATTTGAAGCACGTTTTGCTCAGCTATTTGGAGCACAGGCATTTCCTAAAACACAGCCTTGCTCCTGAAATGCAGTAAAGGATTTGAAACTCAGATGTCTCATTTCCAGTACGTGGAAGGATGCCAAACGCTTTTGTCTTGTACGTTCCTTGGTACAAGCTCCAAACAGCTCAGCCTGACCAAGTCTCTTTCCTCCAGTCAGCAAATAAAATGTTGTCTGCTGATGTTCCAAGGCTTCTCGCCACTGTACTGCATTACTGATCACAGTGTCTTTAATGCTGTCGGCTTTGGCAGACTTTGAGCTTGATTTGCTCCTCCCACCGAGCAGCATTAATCTGAGCTGACCACCGAAGTCGGAGTTGATTCGTACCCCTCCGCATGCTGGGGTGAGGTGGTTGGGCTGGTGGTATGCTTGTTCTTTATGTGGGGTAGAAAGGAAAAATTCTGTCTGCGGAGAAGTGGAAAGTATTTTGAGTAGGGCCGTCTTGCGAAGGCGCTTGTCGAATAAGATGCAGGCTGACAAAGCCTTTCATCTCTCTTCTATAATTTTTAGTTCAGCATAAGTGCAAAAGAGGCAATCTTTTCTCTCTGTTCCCCTGCTTCCCCTCGTGCTGGCACCAGCCTTTGTTTGGATGGGGGAGCAGATCCAGCTAAAGAATAATCTGGGTTTGTTTGCGGTTCCTTGGTGTATTTCATCTCATACTTGCACAGGTGCTTGAGGTGGAAGGAAATAAAGGGGCAGGGAGAAGGCAGAACTCATTTCAGCAGTGTGACCAGCTTACACTAGTCTAAACGGCCTGCAGATCTGTTTGGTGTTAAGAGATGGGAAAGCACACACTGGACTTTATTTCCTTCCCTTATTTCACAGCTCCAAAGCACGTAACTTTTACTGGTGATACCCGTAGTGACTGACAAAGCATCTGGTGAGAGACATGCCAGTGGCTCCACTGTGCTGGCAATGCTGCCTGCCAGAGCACCTTGGAGAGCATCACCCATGGCTTCTTCCTTGGTGCCAAAGCATGAAGCTGACTCGGTGTGACACGTGCTGAAGCCGGGTAGGAGGAAAAATGTTTTGAAATCTGCTTGGCGAAATCATTTGATGTTAGTTACTAGTTGCTGATCAGTGGAGGGTGCTGTAAGAGTTATACTGCATTCCTCCAGCACTGTCCGGCAGCAAATTCCCTGTCGCAGTTATTAACTTCTTCAAGGGCAGATGGGCCTGCTGTCCCCTGTGACTAACTAACTTTTGCTGGCTCAGCATGGGACCTCTAGGGTCTGAGGGTAGTTTGAAGACCACCTGGTTGTTATTAAGGCCAACACAGCTAGGTGAGCAAATGAAGGTTAGGAGCAGGTTTGTTTGCTATAAAGTGGTAGTGGGTTGCTAAAGCTGTGATGGTAACTTCTGAGTCAGAGTAGGAATGCGAGGGGAGAGTTGTTCCTTAAATGATGGTAGAGCTTTTTTTAATTGGCTTTTGCTGCTGGGTGTGTGGCACCCTGCAAAAGACCAGGTGGTGCTGATAGGGGGTGATGAGGGAAACTTGTGCCTGTGAGAAGATGGTTTGTAATCCACTTGCATTGGTAGTTGGTGGAGGCTGAGCTAGTGGTGTGTGTGACTGCTCCATTTTTACATCTGATCTGTTCTTAATCCCTAGTGATGGGAGAGAGTTTTCATTCCCTCCTTGAGAAGCTCCACTTGATTGCTCTAATCACCTTGGTATTAGTCTCAGTGATCATACACGCAGGGCAGTAAGTAGCTTCTTACTGTATTGATGAGGTTGTCCTTACTGGAGCAAATGCAAGCTGCAGGGGTGCAGGGCTGCATCCCTCCCAGGATGAAGAGTTCTCACAAAAAGCCAGCTGGTCTGCAAGGGGAGCAATTTTGGAACCTGAGGCATCCCTTGGTTGCACCCCCCACCTCTGACTTTTGGCTTGAGCTCTGGGAAGGGTGAGGAGTCCTGGTTTGGAAGGGCTGTGCAATCCTTTACATGGCCTGTGATGTTGGCGATGCTTGTAGATCTTACTGAATTAAACCTCTCACCAGCTTTGAGGGCTCCACCCAGCCAGCTTCATCTGTGCTAAGTAACAACGTACTTGCAGGGTGAGCTAGCAGAAAATGACTTTCTGGTCATTAAATGAGGCACAGTGGAGTCAAGCAAGATGAGCTTCATGCTGGATGTCTGCTGTGAACTGAGACTACAGTGTTTCCAGCCACAGGATGACAGTCTCCAGCTCTGCCGCAAGGTCTTGCTCTGCAGTGGCTCTGCTGTCTCTGGAGCTGCCACTGCTTGGAAATACTGGTACTGGGTCAAGGCCCTTTCATCTGCCTGGTCTCTGAATTTCACTTGCTTTATAAATTCATGGTCTATAGTGCTGTGTCTGCGTTTCTTCTCGGCAGCTCTGGCCTCCCGCTACAAACCCTCACCAGCTCCTGGCTGCTGTGCTGGGATGTGCACCGGTAGCTGGAGGGCTGCAGCCTCAACCCCAGCAATGTCGCCCTTTCCTTCACTTGTGGCATCGTGCAACCCTGGCTTCTGCTCTGTGCCAGCTGGATGCCCAGGATCGGTGCTCCTGCAGCTGGGGCAGTAATTCTTTTTGGGGAAAAAAGGGGTTTTGTTTGGAGGGAGTGGGAGCGGTGGGTGGCTCTCTGCTGCCTGGTGTGGCTGGCAGCATGGTGCTGTGTACTGCCCACCTGGCACTGGAAAGAAGAGCAGTGCTTTGTCCTGTGTGTGGGAAGACTGATGGCTGCTTCTCCCTTGTTGTTTGAGATCTGGAGGGATTTGTGCCTCCTATCTTGGCAGGCCTGCCGAGGTAACTTTAACAGACGGATGATAGGATACATGCCAGCCATCAGGAAAACCTTGGTTCTCTTTACCCGAGCGTGCCTCAGTGGCTGACACAATGATCATTGGCCTTGGACACAGGGAAGCACCTTGCCTGGAGGTCCAAACCTGACCCCCATGGTGACGGTGGCTGCTGCAGGTTACAGTAAGGGCCATGTGCCTCTGCGTTAGCGTGGTCCCTGTGGGATTCTGTCCTGTCCCACAGCAGTGTTAGGGCAGGGGCCTCCATTTTGTGGAGGGCTGGGAAAGGCCTGGGACTCCCACTGCCTCGACATGTTGTGTCATATGTGCGCAACTTGGGCACCTGGAGTTTTTTTTATCTTTGAAGAAAAGGAGCATTTATA